ATGTAGATTGAGAGGTCAGGATACCTTGTCAGGGTTTTCATAAACTTGGCTTTTCTTTGTCTGAAAAGAGCAGATGTAGAGTCACAACCACTGACAGGCATTTCTCGGTGGTGCTTGGAGGATGGTAAACAGATGGAAGATCCTGGTTTAAAAAATATATACATTGGAAGACGTCAGGGTTCCAATCATAATGACCAGGAGGTCTATATCCTCACCAACCACAGTTTCGTGCTCTGCAGCAAGGGATTGGGCTGTTTGCATCTTCACGGAGGACGACGAATGAATATGAAAATGATTAAATAATGGTGTTTTTGCTTTTTTTTTTGTAAATACAAAATTGTTCCAAATATGTTTCCTTTTATCAAAACCTTCTATCTTCCTCTTGAATTAATAGTACGATTTCGTTTAAACTAGGATGCCCGTTGACCTCACTCACGTTTGACGATTCCTGAAATGTAACCTGGACATACCAGATAATCATAAAATAAATTGGTTTTAGAGGTGTATGAAGTTGATAGTAGGGCACCAGCGCGCAGTTAGAATAACTAAACGGTTTCAACTTTTTTAGCGGAAAGTCAAGAAATGCCACTTTCCTCAACACGATCTAACGACATTATGGATTGTCCAGACTTTAGAGTTATTATACGCATTTGTAGGAAATTTTGTCTACTTTAATATGGTATATCATAGTTATAATCAAAAAACGCTTAGTTTTCGAGTTATAGTTAAAAAACTGAAGAAAGTGCCGAAAATTTGAGTTTTTTTGCAATTTTTTTTGTGAAGCCGACGCCTGGCGAGGTGGCAAACCTCAGACTCAGATTCAGCAGCCCAAAAAACATAAAGAACCGGTAAGAACAACACTTCTACATTTTTTCCCTGGAAACGCCGTTTCTGAACCTTGGATGCCTGAACTATTTATTTTATTACTAATTTCATCCACTGACAATGTACTAAACCGTTTTTTATTAATTTCTGAAGAATTCATGGAAATTGATGATATTTCCATTATAATAATATTTTGATTGGTTAGAACGTACATATGAGTAAAATAATCTATATAATGTTCCACAAAATTGCTTTAAATCGGGTTACAAGTAATCCAAATTTTTTATTGAGATGACTAACATGTGTCAAATTAGGTTTAAGGAAACGGTCAAGAAAATAATTTATTTCTTCCGTTGTACAGTCTCGAAGTTATATAATTTCGAGGAAAAGTGTACTTAATTAAATAAACACAATAACTTAACAAAGAAAATACTCAGATTACATTAACAATTTACTTTTCTTATTATCAAATGGTAAATACCTAGAACAAGATATGAAATGTGGGAAATCAAATAAATACATAATGTCTTTAAAATCAATTACTTCTGAAAGCATGCGTTTGTTTTAAATGTTAGTAGTGTCCAAAACGTAAAAAAAATCATAACTGAAAACCTATCAAATCTAATTAAATAAAAAATACTTTATTACGGATAATATTCGCAATTTTCTCACAAAGATTTTAGACTATTTTACAAATTATCCTCGTTGAAGGAAATATGATACAATTAACAATTAACATAATCACTTTAAGAATTAATACCGTAATGGATATTTTTACGCTATTAAAACAGTCTCATATCTGAATCTTATCTATTATTATTAATTAAAAAAAAATCTATTGGATTCGAATGTAAATGTGTGTAGGTACCAATGGCAAAGATTATTTTCATTATTTTCATTATTTCACTAAAAACTCCAGAAATTCGACGCCACTGTTATCACTAGGTCTAACTCGTAGCGTTTCAAGAAAAAAAATAGAAACCTTTCATTATAACAACATTTTCAACGTAACTTTAAAATTACTCGTTTTCCAAAAAAATTATAGTTTTTTTTCTAGAAATACGATCTAATATACGATGGAATCTTGAAAAGTCTGAGAAATTAATTGACACAATTTTTTTCTTGGCTCATACCCCTTGCTACCTTCAAAAATACGAAACTCATGCCATTGATTTTTTTCAGACTGTCATGATCAGTTTATATTGGAAATTGTATTTCTATCAAAAAAAATCTCATGAACTTTTTTTTTGTGGATGGCTGTAGGTTGCGTTCTCCTTTATGTAATTTTACTCAAACAAAAAGTGACACAACTGCTGCCTTCTTATAACTTTATATTATAAGAATATACAGGGTGTCTCGGTACTTGATACAAAAAGTCGAGTACAAGTGGATGAGGTCAAAATAATATCAGTTCATATATTTTTTTTTCATACGGACACTCAAAGGTGAAAATTAAAAAGTTATTTTTATTTACAGTCTCTAAACTATTAACTTTAGCATGATGCAAATTTGGTGATCCATAACACATGCGTACAGCTTGTTTTTGATGTGGTAATTGAATATTCATTATGTCCAGAACGCCATGGATGGACTATACCCAATGGTTAACAACCCAGTATTTTTACATAGATGACGATCGCAACCTGCCTGTACAAAAAATAAGTTCCCTGAAGAATTTGCCAACGTAAATACCCTCTTGGTTCAATTCGGTAAAATTAACAGTTTAGGACATATTTGTTATTTTATGTCACAGTGCACATCGAGCGCCGCCTCCACCATTTTTTGTTTTTAATTTTTAATTGGACATAATTACTATGTTAGAACCGTACATATTTATAAAATAACAGCCTAGCAAATCTTACTGTCTGCTAATGTATTTTTCACTAACAAAATTTGACAAATACACTTTACACATAACACAAAATAGAAAAACAAAACAATAATAAGTTAAAAAATAATTGAAAAGAAAGAAAACTCTGAAAATACATTTTCAATATAGGCACTTTCCACCTTCACACACTTCCTAAGTCTACGAATGTTATTTGTTTGTACACGAAAAATCATTTCTGGGATACGTCTAATATTATCACAATGGAAATTAATTCTTTGTAGCAATTCATTCCTTGTCTGTACTGGAGTTGCGTACACTAAACTTTTCAAGTATCCCGACGGAAGAAGTCCATCGGATTATAGTCTGGAGAACGTGGTGGCCATGAAATTGGATCTCCTCTCACAATCAATTTATTTTTAAACACAATAGATAAATAATTTCATGCATGAACCAAACGTTTCTTCGGATGTCTAATGGAACATCGTCTAAAAGTGGCTGTAAATTATTTTGTGCAAAAATTTCAAATATCGATATCCATTCAGACGTTCCTCAAAAACGTATCGACCTATTACATTATTACCCCAGAAATGCTTTTTCGTGTGCAAACAAATAACATTCGTAGTCTTAGGAAGTGTGTGGAGGTGGAAGGTGCTCATATTGAAAATGTATTTTTATAGGTTTCTTTCTTTTAAATTATTTTTTTAATTTTCACATATTTTTGTAAAACAAAAAGTGGCAGTTTCTATTTTTTTACACTAAACGCTTCATATGGAACTTACCATTAAATATTCTTGTAAAACAAAAAGGGGCAGTTTCTATTTTTCTACACTAAACGCTTCAATTGGAACTTACCATAAAATATATAGGTATAGTACGTAATAATAAGAACAAGCAAAAGTTAATAAAATAATAATTTCTTATCATAAGGAAATAGCAAAGAATTAACAGTGTTCGGTGAATCGTCTCCGGCGATCGGTAAATACCTATTTCAAAAACGGATATGACTGTTCAACATTTATCGAGGTCACAGGCGCATATCTAAAATAGTCGAAGTTTTTAATAGATGCTATTTTTACTAATCGTGGCGAAGCATCAACTAATTCACATTTTAGTATCCGACTGTTCGGATCATTATTATAGAATAACATGTACACTCTAATCTGAAGCTTCGCATCTATCAATTTATTCGACGTTTTTAGCGGCACCCTAATGCCTGCCCTGTCGGCCTGTAGTGCCGGTACACAATCCAGTTTTTTTTGCTAAGGGACGTTAGCCGTGCATTTCATTGTCATTTGTACGTGTGTGAGTGAGCTTGAAGCTTTGCTTGGTCTAGTGTATGGCAAGTCAGTAGCATTATGTATTGTGAGCACACGGCTTGACCATAGATTTATACTATTTACGCTACTGTACCGCGTATTGCCGCTTACTAACATAATATAGATTACTACTGTTTATTTATTTGACTTGGCCACAAAGTTTCCGATGTCTATTGAAGAGTTATTTTAACGTTAATGAAAACTAAAAATGTAATAAAAGAAGGTGGCTCATTTTTCGAGTAAAATGTAATTTATATTTCTTCTTGGGAACACCACAAGAAGTTACAGATATTGATCCAATGTCGCCGAATTTTTAGGGCGATATCCGGTATTTCTGCCACCAATACATGTATTTATATTCGAATTGAGTGGATGTTTGCCTAAGACTCATTATTTTGCATCAAACCCCTTCAGAGGTATTTAGTGTGATTTTTTTTTAATTTCAACGCTCTGTATCTCGAAAATTATTGATTTGTAAGCCCATGTCTATATAATCTTTCTCTTCATCTCACGTGATATTTTTCTGCTGTTAAAAAATTGAAGATGTGTGTTCAAAGCAGGTGTACTGGTTTTAATTTTCAGAGCATGGTTTAAACAATTATTACTTATTATTTTAAACAATTAATTTAAACACAATAAGAAATAATTTAATAGTTTTTGTAGGTATACAGGGTGATCCATTAACGGTATCGAGCGGCTGTATATAGGAAACTAGACGTACGTAATGGATCACCCTGTATAAGCAACTAAACCTTTATTATATTTTCATAATTACTAAAACATTTCAATTACTACAGATTTCATTATTTTATTATAACAGTGTAACTGCTAGGTGCATTTACACTGGGAACAGAATTTTTAAAGCTATTCATGCCCTGTCAAATAAAAAAATATTGTTGTTTCTTCTTGTAAAGAGAATGGGGGGGGGGGGGGGGGTAATTGTACTATACACAATAATACACATTAATAAAAATAAAATAGAAAGAAATTCTTTAAGAACATGTATTATTCCGTCAGCTGTTTTGCAGGTGGCCGGGTGCATCTTTGATAGTGATCCGTGGTCACAAACACCTACACGAATGCGCGTACATTGGCGACAACTCATCCGAAGAACTGGAGGAGCTAATGGAAGCCATACGGGAGGGCACCTATGTCGAACCACCCGGTGAAAAGAGCATCAATTCCACGGAAGATGAAGCACCGGCCAACGAACCAGAACTGATGAAAAGACACAGGGCTGATGTGGAATTCCACAGCCCTCGACACAGGAACAATACAAAAAATTATACGATGGACAGTAACGTCGACAACTCAGAAATAACGGACCCAAAAGTTATGAAAATATTACTAGAAGCTTTGCGTACGAAAACTAAACAGAGCAAAGGGAAACTTTTGGGGAGCGATACCAAATCACATGGGCATAGAAATTCGACAATTGCCAAAGCAGAAACGAAGAACTTTAAAATCGACCCTCCTAAAACGAGGACTACTTCCGAAGAGGCGTTCAGCGAGATTCTAAGCAAACTGAGAAAGTTGGGAGGAAGAGGTAACGCTGTTCTGGAAAAAGTAAATCAAGAATTCAATCAGAGTAAGAGTAATCCTACTAATCAAACTATCATCGATACGAAAGGAAGGCATTATTCAAAGCCACCCGTGAATTATAACGACAACGTAGACCACGAGAGGCGAAAACGTCATCTGTATTTGTCCCCTGCACACGATTTGGCTGAAGATGATGAGGAAAATGACATGGCCATTGAAGAGGTAGGAATTATAATTTTTTTTATGTTTTTTTCGCAGGACTTTGACACCTTTGGTTTGTAGCTTATTTATACTGAATCTCTCATTTGTAATCTGACATCATCATCACCATGAGTTGTATGCTATACTATTCTAGGCCCAATTTTGATTGTCCATAAAGAATCTGCCTTTAGGTCTTCATTGTCCAGCCAAATTCTGTTCAGACTACAATAACCTGGCACTGTAAGTAATTGACTCCTCTTCCATTTTCAATTTAGCGTCAGTTCCAAAACCCTGATTGCTTATACTTGTTTGTGTAGTCTCACCCTGAGTTATGTGCTATACTATTCTAGGTTCAATTTTGATTATCCAACTAACCTGAATTTTGTGGTATAATTCTTTCCATTTGAATGATATAGATTTGCTGTTTCTGTTGTCCTATTGCGAAGCCTGCATTCTGGGTCTCCGTCATACAGTCCAGTTCTCTTCATGCCAGACTATAATAACCTGTCACTGTATGTAACTAATTCCTGCCTAACGACAGAAGTTTTTTAGTCTTCTGTGTTAATGGTTGTTTTCTTATTTAACCAGATTCTCTGGAGTCATACAAGAAGTTAATGAAACTTTCCTATCTAATTCGTTAGCTCTTTGATTGATCTCAAAGATTCTTAATCTTTGCACTCACATTAAAATTAACTTAGTAAATATTGTCGTCTAGAACTTTCAGTTCCTCTAAGCATTCCCACGCAGTTTAGATATAACTTTTGAATTTGTCAGTGCCTTAGTTGAATTCAGTCAGTTGAATTTGTTTTGTTTGTCAGTTGTTTGTTGTGTCAGTTTGAATTTGTTTTGTTTGTCAGTTGTTTGTTTATTTGAATTCAGAGTCAGTTGATTTTGTCATTGCCTGTCAGTCAGCGAAGGTTGATGGTGCAAGAATATTAATCGGTCTATTCCATTCCATTCTTTCATATTATTTTATTTTGCGCAGTGGATTATTCCAGTATCTCTTAATTTGAAAAACATTCATCTAATCTAATTTAACGGAGTTCACTCGATTTGTTTCACATCATCTAAATACTTCATAAGTTGATGTAATATTTAACGACTTGCGAAAAACTTCGATAAAGTAAATCTTGCATAAATGTGAGTATTACCATCTTATACAATGGTATTACGGATTTAGTAACAAATTGTACCTTCATTTATGTGACTTGTATGTTTCGAATAACGATTTCAGATAATTTTTGTCTATATGGGGCATGCCTCAAGGCTCTTACTTAGAGCCACTTCTATTAATTTTTTTATAAATGCCCTGTGTCTTTTTCTCTAAATTCTAATAATTTTTTCTTTGTTGACGATTTAAAGTTGATATATCATGAACGTATTAGATTCAAGTGCCTAACCTTAGGATCTCAACATTTCAATAACATTTAATTTTATTTATTTATAAGGGAATATACATATTAGTCCAGATGGTATCAGTTTCAAAGAGTCCATATTTGGGTGAATCGTATATCCACGGAGATTTTTGGCTTTTTGGTTTTAAAATATCACTAGAAATGAAAATTTTTCTATGCGCATAAAAAAAAGGTGGGTTTAACTTTTGGCGGCACAATATGTTCAAAAAATTCGAAAAACGTCATATTTTTCTTCCTATTTAATTATGTATATTTTCAAGAGTTGATTTTAGGCGAAAATAGAAGAGGAAAAAAATGTTTGTAATTAAATTTTACAAAATATGACTAGTTACAAATCGAATGAATCATGATTATTATTGCAAAAATCGAAAAAATCGTTAAAAATGGGGTTAAAAAACATTACTTTTTAGGGAATTTTGTGGCGTCTTTAAGTTGGGTATAGGATCTTCATACTTGGCTCAAGAAAAGTTCATGTTATGTAGAATCATCACACCAAATTTCATCATCAAAATCGGTTAGATAGATTTTGCAATGCAGATTTTCAAAAAAAAATTGCTTGATTTAATCACATATAGAAGGGCTCTCAAGCTTTCAAACGCTTTTTGAAAAATTCGAATCCGTCAATTAGGAGAGCTCTGGCGCTTGTTTAGACACTGGTCGAATTTTTGTACTATAATTTTGTATTTTTAATATAATGAGTTAATTTCTCATTTGCTTATATTTTAAGCAGTAAATAATATTTGATTATACTTTAATGACAAAAGAAAAGATGATTAAATTAATAATTAATGAATTAATTAATTAATTACTAATTTTCCACGTATTTTGAAAATAATTGTTGTTTAAACAATTGTAGAATATTTAAATAAATTTGTTTTTGATCTTTGATAAACAGTATATAAGTTTATGCACTTACCTTTGATACAATAAAAATTTAAAGTTGATAATTAAAGGAAGTTTAAAGATAAATAGTTATCGGACTGTTGAGAGACCAATAATTATTAACGATAGGCATTTGAAATTACGCTAATTGTTTTTTTTTAAATCGCGAGACATCGATTTAAAAAAAAAAATCAAAATCGGGCCTCTAGAAGCTGAGATATTAAAAATTTTTAAGCGCGTCGCGGTTTTGAACTCGCCGATTCAACTTCGAGCAGGCCGAAGTCCCCCCACCACCACCCGTTCGATTTTCTTGAATGTCTCGCTTGCATAAATAACTTTAAACACGTTTTAAAGTAGGTTGCCAATGAAGAAAAGTATTGTAAACTTAGACGTGGTAAGTACTCGGAATACCAAAGGTATTTTTCGAAAAATTAGCTCGGATGTCCCAGTACATTTAGTGTAAATGACGGTTAACTTTGATCGGCTATAACTACGTAACTAATTGACCAATCGATCTGTTTTTTTTT